GGCAATGCAAGGTTAGACACAAACTGATGTGAGCGGGCGGATGCTTCACAGACCTCATGATAGTCTCCGTCTGTCATTATTCACGTCTGACTAGTCGCGTCATGTCAGCTACCTAGAGAGACACTTTTAATGTGCACCCCCCTGCTTCCCAATTGCTTTTCACAGCCACTGTACGATACCATTATTTCTCTGCTTCAGTACCTTTAGGTGAAACTCGGCCTCCCATCAACCACAATCAAAGACACATCCTCTGCTTGGCATCATAGTGTAATACATGCTGGTGTTTTCACAGACTTGACATAGAGCTGCACCGAGAACACAGTTTTGTATCTCATTTGACTAATTAAATCAAAATAAGGGGAAAATATGATGCTATGGGAGTTTCAAAATGAATATCTGAATTATAATTGTGTTTTATAAGATAATTTTAAAGGGCAGATGGCTAGATAATGACAAAATGCTGCTGAGTGTATTATTAGATGTTATTAACTTCTTAAGCAGGGGAAGTACCATATGGCTTCACTCTCACAACATACACATTTATTTCACAACGCTACTCTTGGTTCAATAAGATGGCCATTTATCACAGCACTAGCCATGAATCAAGCTACGTTGTAAAATCAATCATTGATTCACCTTATTCCCTTGTTTTTCCATTGCAGCCACATAATGATCATTAAACTGACCACAGCATGTCCAAAAATGGATTTATAATACACTGAGCAGCAGCTGAAACATCACAGTCGTGTCCAGAAGAAGAAGACCGTACCAACACAGAATCCAAAAAGGAGCAGTCATTGGCTGTATGCTGCGACTGCACTTCCCTGTGTCTCAAAGAGGGCTTGGCGTGAGGAGCTCAAACTACAGGCCCGGGACCTCCTGGCTGGAGTCCAGCTCTATGCTTTGTGCACGTGATCACAGCCTAGATGAGCATGCTTTAATGGGCCTGCTTAGCCCCATCATGACCCAATGATGCCGGCTGTGGAGTGGATGTGCTTGGTGTGCGAGTGCGTGTTCCCAGCAGGGAGAGCGTGCCTTATGAAGGTCACAACTGCAGCAGTCTGGGGCTCGCTAAGTGAACCCAGGAGAGGATAACAAGCCACATCTTTGTGCTCACCGCTACTGATCCTACCTCCTCCACAGAACAATCAAACTGAAACATGGAAACATCCAATGCTACAAAAGCTGTTATTATGCTGCTTCTACATGCACATGTACAGTAACTTCAGGCCATTTTAATCTCTGCACTCTCTTCAGACATAAACCCTCATGCAAAATGAGAAATACGTTTTTGGCAAAGCAATTTATCTAAGGCAGGGATATAGAAATGAACAAAGTACTTTCCTCGTGGGAATCAAGTCTATAGCAGTGTGTGACAGTATTGCCCTGTGTTATGGACACCTAATGGACAATGTAGCATTAATTCAGCTTCAGATGAACAGGCAGGACAACAGAATCAAAAATGAGGAGGGGGCCCGAGGTGTATGAATTATGTATATTACATTACCATAACCTTACAATGCGCCAACAAAACAATGTGCTGAAAATTGGAGTAGGACTGAGATATTGAACCATTTTCTACATGCTTCTTGGTCATGCACCTTAGAAGAGAAATTGTATTTAGTTTGCTTAGAAACAGCCGAGCCATGTGACATTTCCATGTTAACCTGCAGAATAAAACTGTGTAAACAAGTCGAGAATAATTGAAAAGAAAGTCTTCTGACTGCTTTCCCATGGCCCCATCATTTAGGTAGATGGGAATCTAGTTAAACAGGAGCAGAGAAATAACTTTTTTCATTGATTTTCCTTTAGACTTCAAAAGCAGGTGAATGAAATTGAGCAATTTACTTTGTCTGCCTCAGAAATGGTATTCAAGCAAAACATGTCAGAAACTATTATTTGTAATCATTCTTCTCTGATTAGTCTGAAAAATGGAAGAATGGTAATTCACAATGGGACACACAGGTCTCCAGCACACTTAGCTTGTATTACAGACACTTACTGGAAAAAATAAGAATTGTATTTAAGATTCAGAGAGCAAACATGCCATGAGTGAATGCATCTATTATCCCAATATTGTAAATATAATGTAGTAAGACATTTCAGGTGAACAAAGGACACTAAGTGCTGAATCCACATGTGAGAGCAGTGGTTAGCAAAAGCACAGGTTCCAGTGAGCTGTGTAAAACAGCATGTGGTGTAGGTAACTGCTACTGTTCCAGTCTTGTAATCATTACATGGCATCTTATTGCCTGTGTGGCTTTTAAAGCTCTTGTCTGGGCTTCAGAAAACAGGGAGTTATAGCTGATCTTTTATTAAAACTTTAAGAGAGAGTCCCCACTAGAGGGGCGGAGGAGGAGTGGGACAAATTAGTGTTGACAGTAGACACTTAAAGCAGGAAAATCACAGGCCCACAGGGAGGCCGGGCCACATGGGGTTTGCACTGTGTAAAGAACACTCCAGATTTCACTTGAGATGCAGTTGCCTTTTAACAGGGCACAGGGAATGTCAACAGAGCCTCTTGAATGGACCAATAAAGCCACTAAAAGGAAGGATTAACCAGCTGATATCAGCACAGAGGCTTGCTTTGAATGCCCCACACCCCCTCCCCCTTTGGAACACGGCCTGGATCACTCTGGGCGTAACATTTGCTTTTGTACAAACGCTACGCTGCCCGTGAACGTGTTTATAATTGTGATCATAATTGATGTGGTCACAGCAGGCGTAACCATGAAATTCACAAATGCACACTATTTAGGTAAAATAATAAAAAACATGACCTACCAGAACTGGCTCCTATTGACTTAGACTTTATTAATTCACAACTAGAATTATTTGGACACAGTACCTCACACATCACAATATATTATAATAAGAAAGAGCAAAAATATAAATGGTAATAATAAATTCATAAATAATTAGCAAAAATAACAAGAGACGGGTGTCCAATTGTGCATGATAATACTGCTAAATGTCCATTAATCAGAGAGGGCCGCTGTTCTCAAGTGACGCTACACAGAATAAAACTGTAATTACAAGACATCAGGGGCTTTCAATCTCCTGATAATTTCCCAGCAGCTGTGACAGAAAGCCCTCACTCCAATTAATGTGTCAAATCTGCCCTACAATGTCATGGCCTTCTCCCAACCTCATAAACATCACATAAAACAGGCTGGTGTATGAACCACAATGTAGAGTTTCATTTCTATAAACCACTGAGTCACTTAGACTCAGTGGTTTATAGAAATGAAACTTATCATCCAGTTAGAGTGACATTAAACTACACAGGATAGGCAAACAGTGGCATGGCTGGCAACTTGAAATTAAGGCAAGTCTGGACTGCTGTTATTGTTACCTTTAACATTGCTTATTATCGCTAATGGATTTTCATTAACAGCACTTTATAATCCTATAATGCACCCAGATTTATCATTTGAAAAGACAGTTTTGTACTTTTCAAGCATGCTTTGAATAAATAGAGGATCAAGATGACATGCACGCTATTTCAAATTTAGTTAAAAGGTGCATTGTGTACCTTTTTTGGTGAAGGGTTCGTCAAATGCTTTTCTCCTTGGAGATGTTATTGTTTTGTCTGGAAACCGGACCAAGTTACAGGTCAGATCTGTGGAGAGGCAACCCCGCTCACAGTCAGAATGCCTGTTTTTTGACGTATTTTTGAGCTATAAAGCCAACTGTAATTGAATAAATGTAATGTAGAGATGTTTAATGGCATACTGTGGAACATTCTAGGCAGAGCAATGACATATCCCTAGAAACAAGCTGGCGATGGATCCCCAACCAAAAAGTTACATAGTGCACCTTTAATGTCTTGAGAGGGGCAAGTTGCAATTAATATTTTGAGCATCTTTCTGTTTGACTGAAAACTTGTTTTTTTATGTCAAGCAGGGCTGTGCAGGGTGAATTTGGGCATTTGCTATGTGCATCTGATTTATTATGGGGAAGGTGAGGGAACAACATTGAGGGATTTCCACTTAATCAGATCTCTTAGGAGCCCATGTAGTGGACCAATACTCCAATGAGTTCCCTTTTTAAAGCAGAATATTAGATTGGCTGCACGCTACCTGTTTTTTGCCCTCAATCAAAGGGTATTGGGGAGGATTTGTTAAATAAGGAAGCTTTTTAAATCTCTAAAAAGTTAATTTCTCTTTATCCAGTAATTCTGAATAAAATTTAACAATCACTTATGCATTTGTCCATTTAGAAATATCTACAGTCAATGGCTATAGATCTAAGATTAAATTCGGAGCTCATCGATGACCAATCACTTCGGCGTCTGCTTCGTAGCTTAACCAAAAATAGATCCTTCCCAGCATTGTAAATCAGAACCTCAAAGAGTATTATTTAGCCTCAAGCAAAAGAGTGCTTGTTTATCAGATGGCGCCTGAGCCTGGAATAAAAACCTGCCCGTAAATCTGGCTACCTTTTATGTGCTCTTCAGACTGACTGGCTCATTCACATCTTCTCAGGCATTCACATAGGCATGCCATTCATGTCAACAAGAAGACAACGCCTTTAAACAGCATTTATGAGAAGTGTAAACAGATCCTAATTGGTCTAAATGCACTCTTAATGAGACTGTTCAAGCATACTTTACTTTGACTGGGATGGGGACAAACAAAGCATAACCCACAAATCTGTAACGAATCATAACACTTAAAGGGTGAATTCAAGGTGAGTCTTTGGCTTGGCTAAAAGCTCTACATCTGTGATTTAGTGTGTCTTGTCAGTGTAAGGGTTCAATAAGCATTCACAATTTTTCACAGCAAGTGTCAGTAGATGCCATGCTGCATTCGACAGTGTTGGATGTGAGTTATCACGACTGCGGAACCCCAGCAGGTAATTTTCTCTGCATTTTATTTTGTAGCCTGATATATTGCTGCTTTGATATGGCAATGCTAAACCCCAGATGATAAATCAAAGATGCAGCGGATGCCTCTGATAACTCAATAAGCACCTGGACTCCTCTGAACATGTCACACCTGCACTGTCGTCATCGGGCTCTGGTCCCAGGGCCTCTCCGCAGCCTCTCCACACCTGCTTCACAGCACCTCAGCACCGCAGCTGCCTGGGACACAAACATCATGCATGCTTAATGAGGAGATCAGGAACCATGGAGACTGTGTGGCATATCCAAAAGCACTATATGTGTTTTACACATAGTCTCACAATATAATTTTAAAATAGTAAACAGTGATGAGAGTAACCGAAATTATTGACAAAGTTTTAAAAAAATAACTAATAAATAAAAATGTAAATGTTGAGGTAGAGTCTGGGATTGTAAAACTTTTTTTTTTTCACTTAGACAAACTTAGACAAAGGCCTAGACAAACTTTATTGATCCACTAAAGAAATTATTAAGGCACAGTAGCTCACACATCACAATATAATAGAAAGATAAAATGAAAAAATATAAATGGTAATAATTTCAAATAAGTAGCAGAAATAGCAAGATATGTATATGTACAAGTAAAAATTAAATATAAAAGTAAAGTAATAAAAATATATTTCAGTTAAATGGAAGAAGTCATAAAGAAAAACAGTGCTTGATGATATGATGAGTAACAAAAGATAGGAATATGTTTCATAAAAGTGTCTTGTTCATTTGTATGGAGGATGGTATGAATGTGTGTAACGTTACTAGAAAAAAATATACAAATATTTATTATACATTCTTATTATTAATAAACACTGTTCTAATCCGTCATGTGAATTGCATTGATGTTTTGAGAAAATCGTATCACTAATTGTTTTTAACACACACACATTTATGTAAACTGGTCAATTAATGCAAATACTCTAAGCCTTTGAGCCTGAATCTATTTGGTGACAAAAATATCTGAAAGTGGGAAGCTTGTTCACTATAAACAACCATTAAATTCTACTTGATTTACAAAGCTGTGTAATAAAGAGTAGATTTAATGAGCACATTTAACCAGAGAAAACCAAGGGGAATCTTAATTCATCAATATTATTGTACTTTCTATAGAATCAATGTGGCGTCTGCTAAGGGGAATTAACAAGTGTGTAAAAATGGATGTCTGTTTACGAAAATAATATCACTGATTCTGCAAACCTTTAGGGCACTTGTATCAAGAAGCATCTGATAAATAGATTGTGAATGCCAAAATAAAAAGTTTTTACGCATAGATTACAACGCAGACCTAGATATTATTCTGGAACAGTTTAGCAATAGTTTAAATATGTTGAAGTCCAAGGAGAGTCCTTACAACAGTGATTGTGATCTTATACAAAGAAAACTGTGCTACAGAAAGTCAGACTGGAGATGCTGGAGCTTTTATAGTTTTTAGCCATTACAAAATGAATCTTCAGTCAGTGTTTGCTTTAGAGTCATTTCTGTGGCCCCGACATGTGGTTCAAGCATCACCACTGACTCTATACAGACTGAGGATACGAGGAAAGGAAAGGTACCTAGATAACTCTGAGTGTCCTGCTGTAATTATGGTATTCATGAAAAGATGAAATTGAGTGCAGACTAAAGCGGTAGCTGCAGGCAAAATCAACAGCCAGGCATTACAGCGTGACCCCTGCCTGTCTGGAGAATTGGCAGACACACCAAAAGTTTGCTGCTTTCTTCATCAGTCAGGAGTGAGGGAATGAAGTGCATCGATTGCTTGTGATTATTAACTAGACTGAGATAAGCCCTCTCCTTATTATGCAGATTACTGAGGCTCTCCGCTCCAGCATATTGTACAGATGCAAGGGAGCAGCTGCTCTTACAGATGGCGGGTACACGGATCTATCATCATGCCTCCATTGTCTCCACTTCAATTGTTCTGGGGACAAGAGAACTGCATCAAAGAGCAGTCCAACTGCAATGAATTAAGAAAGAGAAACGAAAAGCATCAACTAAATTTATACACCCGAGGCCGAGGAGCGGGGAGAGGCGTAAAACTCAGTTATTACGTCTATACAGCCGCGGAGTCGCCCAGTCATGTATACTGTAGCCAAATCTGTTGGAGGCAGCACTGTGCACCAAGCATATGTTGTTTTGAGACACAAAAAGTGATTATGGTGCAAATAAATATTCATTACAATATGAAAGCTTGTAATTTTGATCAACTGTGCATTTACTCATTTGAAGTTAATTATTGTGAATAACATTATGCATATATTTATGAACATGCTTTTCAACCAGGCTCGTGTAGAACATTTGGTTAAAGTTTAAGCAAATAACGATTTTTAAAAATGTTTTCATTTCTAGCTTTCGTCTTAGTAATAGTATTTTTGCATTCATATGTAGCATAGATAATTTGATGCACATAAGACTTGATTAGAAAGTTTGATTTAAGATTACGCAAATAACGATTAAAAATGTTTTTATTATTTCTAGTTTTCTTAATAATAGCATTTTAACATTCATATGAAGAATACATTATTTGCTGTATTATAGCATTTTAGCATTCATTTGTATCATAAAAAAATTGATGCATATGAGACTTGTGTAGAACGTTTGGTTAAAGTTTAAGAAAATAACGATTTAAAAAAGAATTGGTTTATTCCTAGTTGTAGTTTTAATAAAAGCATTTTTGTCATTTGTAGAATAATTTGGTACATTTTACAGGAGAATAATTTACAGCATAATGATTGAAATAAATTGCCTGGACAACACATGTTAAATGCAGATGTTGACAGTAGTACCTCTAGTTGTCCACTGACCGGGCCACTCCTCCCGCTGCGACGTTCTGAGGGCAGGACACTGGACTCTGATCAAACACGACTCCGTCCTGGAGGAGATTACACAGGCAAGGTCACAGCAGGGCCCCCTCACACACAGCAGTATCACAACTTAACCACAAGGACTACTAACTGTAATGATGCACAGAGCAGCATATAAGAATGTACCATAAACTGACCACTGCATGTTTCTTGTGTCATTCTTTTGATTACACTTGACTTATTTTATATAATGTAGAAACTGTTAATGTTAAGAATTGATTCTACAGATCATAAAATGTAATAGTAAAAAGCATTAAAGTTAAAATGCCTGTGTAATTGCAAAAAAAGAGTATGCTGAGAGGTTTAGTTCAAATACCCTGTCAACTATCCTAATACATCCATTTTATGTGACAGAAGATTAAAATAAACAATTGTTACAACAAAAACAAATGTGCTTTAGTTTGAGCCAAAAACACACAGTGGGAAATAAGAAGAGCTCTATGCGTTTCTTTGTTGGTAAGAGACTTGCTCAGCCTTAACTTGTTTTGGACTTGTTCTAACTGTATTCAAATAAAGCAGAGCTGCTTTCTTAAGTCATGTGTCATGGCTGGATAGACTGAGCCCCTGTCAGATCACAAAGCCCCGTCTGTTGTTAGGACCAGGTCCACATGGGGCACGTTTGATTGGAAAGCCCACAGGGAGGAGTTCCACCAGTCACAGGGGCATTGTTAGTGCCTCCAAACTGGCCAAAGAAGAATGACTGATTATGCAACCAGAGCTAGGGTTACTAATAGGAATTCTATTTGAATTTCTAACATAACAGATGTTTGCTGGGCACCTCCATGGAGTGTGCATACACAGTTATGCTAATTTACCAGTGTTTCCCTTCAAGTTAGCTCAGAGTCATTAGAGCACACAGCTAGCTTGGATCCTTCTGTCAAACTAATAATTGGCCATTATTGATATTAATTAACATTTTTGCTCTCTGTGTCCTTTTTGACCCAGTATGTGTTAGTAAATCCAGTTACTGAAGCCTATTAGGACGATCATTTCTATGGGACTCTATAGCAGAACCATTTATCAGAAAGTGAACATAAAGCCAATTAGGAATGGGAGTAGACAGTTGTCTTCATTCTCCACTGACTACTTCTTGATCTCCATTATAAACTGCTAATAGGGCAGATACTAGTTAGCAGGCGAGAGCTGGAGTGGGGGTTGCCATTGCTCACTTGCAGCGATGACAGGTGAATGGGACCAGTAATAGTAGACTTGCCTGATGAGGCTACACCAACATCAGCTGCTGTTTTTAATATTCCTTTGTCTCTCGTGAAGCTCCTTCCATTTTACTGCTGGTCAATCACACTAATTGGCTTAAAACTACAATATTACAGAAATCCATTAAATTGTTGATGTTTCATCCTACAAAAATAATAGCCTCTGCTCTCAGCACTATTATGATGCGATGAGCATCGGAAACACAGCACACCACAGCTTTATGGGCTCAGATCAAGAAATCCTAATAGGTGTATATTGACTGGTTTATTTTCCACTAAAGTCCATTGGGGATGCTGCTTGCGAAAAAATATATCAAAAAGGCTATCAACAATGGTTGTGTCTTCTGTGTAAAATCAATATTGAGCCATAGACAGCTTGAGTTTTCACAGTTCTCTCTCGTCATTTAAAAACACTGAGCCTATATGATGCCTATATTGACCTGGGCAGGGGAAGAGAATATTAGTGATAAATGAAAATCTTCCATTATAGGGAGCACATACATATGCTGCACTTGACGTTTTGAATAAATGATGTAGTTTTCCTGAGCAGCATGCGAGATCAGAAGGGGCTGTTGAAGGAGTACCCTAACATGACCTATGTGAGGCACAACTTATGTCCCAGCTCCCCAAATCCAGATGCTACAATGGCAGCACATTTTTATGACGAGAGGGATGGCACTCTCTTCAATGAGCACTATTTAATAGCCTGGATTCAAGTGTAAAGGCCTTCTCCCCTGAGCTTTGCTCCAAGAACCTAATTACAAGTTTCATCATCAATCATAAGCATTATTTATTCAGTGAAATGAATTTCTAATTAATAACTGATGAGCATTATGGCCTCCAAGACTGTAAAGCAATTAATTACGGCTGGCAGTAGGGAATATGGCTGTGTGTAGTCATAGCACGGCAGTGCCAACAGGCAACTGTCCACAACACACAGACAGACACTGGGTTTGGATCATTATTTACAGTGAATATTACTTTCGCCAGTGTTTTCTCATCAAGGTGGCAATGGAGTAAACTCATGATGTAGCTAAGTGTTTCTTTTTATGATTTGCAATTCCATGCTAAATTACTGTACACTACACTG